TGCACACACACAGTAGTGAACACACACACACAGTGCACACACACCCGGAGCAGTGGGCAGCCATTTTTTGCTGCGGCGCCCGGGGAGCAGTTGGGGGTTCGGTGCCTTGCTCAAGGGCACCTCAGTTGTGGTATTGAAGGTGGGAGAGAGCGCTGTACACTGACTCCCCCCACCTACAATCCCTGCCGGTACGAGACTCGAACCCGCAACCTTTGGGTTACGAGTCCGACTCTCTAACCATTAGGCCACGACTTCCCCCAATATATATAAATAATATATATATATATTGAGCCTTTACATTTTCATTGATTCTCAACAGACCTAAATGTATTCCCTTGATTACAGAGGTCTAGAGGTGTGAGGCCAGTGTGGTTTTTCATGTGTAAAATGTGGAGCCCGGCACTCTTCAGCAGTAGCCAGCACACCTCAATCATGCCTTTCTCTGCAGCCACGTGAAGTGCTGTCGCCCCCTGGTGGTCAACTGCCTCTGGTGCACATCTCTGGTTAAAGATTTAGAGCAAAAACAACTGAAAATCAGAAAAGCAGCAAATATCATGCAAGCACTTCATAAACAAGAATTAGATTAAATACATATCTGAAGCAATAAACTGTGATTTATGACTGTTATTGCATTGTAAAAGATTAGCTTTATAGATATGAATATGATGATGCTGCAAAAATGTTCATTTTTGGGTGAACTATTCCTTTAAGGAAAATTTAAAACTTTGGAAGAGAAGAACTAACAGATTAATGGCATTGTTTTGATTCTCTCTCTCTCTCTCTCTCTAAGAATAGTAAAAGTGTAAAGACTGGTTCTGAAAGTAAAAAATGTAATGAATTTCCACAGTGATAGGAGCAATTTATAGCAATTTTCAGGCATTCTGCATTCTCCTATCAGTATTTTGGTGTCCATTTCGTCAAGTTGTACCATGAAAGAGAACTACAAGCAATGCTGTAAAATAAAAGTGCTTACATTTGCTCTAAGGAGATAGCGGACTACGTCAGAATTGCCTGTGGAAGCTGCCAAATGCAGCGGAGTGACCTTATAGTTATCGGCATCAGTGAAACGGAACATTCCAGTCTCCCACAGGTACTGCGTGGCAATACTGAGAAAGAAGAAGAAAGAGAAAAAAAAACATAGGGGAAAATATATTTGAGCATGCAGTATACACCAAAACTAATTATAATTCTTGTTTTTGTTTTAACGTTTGACTGCCACTAGTGTAACAGGCCCAGTTACTTACACGCTTCCTCCACCGACTGCATGATGAAGAGACGTTTTCCCTTGCTCATCTACTATGTGCAAGTCTGCACCGTGCTGCATCATTTTGTGCATGATATAAATATTGCCATTTCTGTTAGAATAACAGTGCAGTACATTAAACCCTCTTCATTGGACACTGGTGTAATGATCTTTCAGGAGAAGCAAAGTTTATGATGGATGTTTTAATTAAATTCACAAACATAAGATGGATGAGGTCTCTCGTACCTGCACGCAAAGTGAAAAGGAGTTTGTCCTGCATCACAGGGAATGTTTGGATCAGCACCGCTGTTCAGCAGAAGCTCAGCCATTGGCCGGTTTCCATGAAGAGCAGCAAAGTGGAGGGCTGTGAAACCTCCCCAACCTGGGAAAATCAGAAGAGTTTAGAACCACCACTAACCTTGAAACACAAATATTATTGTGCTGGGATAGGTTTTTGCATATCCAAAATTAGCATAGATATAACATCAGCTATAAAAGTTTATAGTCAAGTCAATTTTTTTTGTATAGTGCTTTTCACAATACACATTGTTTCAAAGCAGCTTTACAGTGTTTCATGATGTTAATGCCTAATTGTCCACATTTAGCAGTCTAGAGCTGGGCAATAGTATACTTGACATTTGATGACAACATAAACAATCAAGCAGTTAAGAACAGAACTAATATTTGTTATTCCTAGTATGCAGTATTTGTAACCATTGTAAAGATGGAAGTCATATATAAAACATGCAAGTATATTAAGATATATTTAAATGTTTCAGCATGTTTTTTTCCCAAACGTTTTCTTGGGAATACTGTTTTTTTATTTTTTATTATTTGTGTTAGTCTTTTATAATACCCATTTAGTAAACAAAAAGCCAGTTCCTTAATGACATAATCATCCAGGAAGTGACATCATATTTGGTGGGAAAACAGAAAAAAAAATAGTGCAAGTATTAGCAAATGATTTGATAAATTCTGTTATGTTTTGTGGTATTATTTGGCTTGCCTAACTTTTATAAAATTTTAGCCAGTTACATTATAGAAAACAATATTGTGTTATTAAAAACATTTCAAAGATGTCAAAATGTACAGTACTTCGTGTTGACATATCATAGATATGTATACGTAGATGCCTCATTAGATGGGCCGCTATACGTAAGCCATCCGCCATATTGGAAGGGTCAACTTGACGTCATTTACCATAATAATCAATGAATATTCGAAAACACGTTTATAACTTAAAAAAAAAACAATATAACACCTTGTAAACTGAGAGCCCGACAAGCTGTTTTCTGATGCACTTATTATTAACTAACAAATGTTCCCTTTCAGTCGGTCACTCTCGACGTCACGTCGGATGACCGACGAATTGGGATCTCGCTTAGAGAGACCAATCTACTTCGAGTGTAAACTAAACGAGCCAATGCACATTGGCATGCGATCGGCGTGCAGCTGCTGCCGTCGCCGAGGGCAGCCCCCTGCCACCGCGGCCTCCAGCAAAGCTGCGCCGTGGAGCCGGTCGCAGGACAGCCGCCCCGCCCGTCCAGGCCCCTGCCAAACCTGGTGGCAAGCGAGAGAGCAAGAGGCCCGGAGACGGGCGACCAGCGGAGAATCTTTTTTTTTTTTCGCCACTGACCTCTCGGTCGGTGCTACCTAAATACTCGACAAAAGAGCAATTTCCTCGATCTCTGAATCCCCAGAGGGGACGGGGGGTTGTGTACAATCCAGTGTCGTATCACACTCGCCCTCCTCTCTCGCCAGTGAGGACGAACCAACGGACTACCCACACACCCTCTGCTCGAACGCAGGTCAGTGTTACACACACTCAGACCCCGCCTCGGACCGGCTACGAGATGCCCGGGCGGGGGTCCTTCGTTCATCCTCGCTGCCCCACTGCGGGTACGCCTGTAGTTCCGTTG